CCCTTCAAATTCGAATACACAAACATCGAATGGGAGTACAACGACGCGCACTTCCAAGCCTGGACACAAGGCCAGACCGGCTACCCCATCGTCGACGCCGCCATGCGCTGCCTCAACCACACAGGCTACATGCACAACCGCCTGCGCATGATAACCGCCTCCTTCCTCGCCAAACACCTCCTCCTCGACTGGCGCCTCGGCGAACAATACTTCATCACGCACCTCATCGACGGCGACTTCGCGTCCAACAACGGCGGCTGGGGCTTCAGTGCGTCGACAGGTGTAGATCCACAACCGTACTTTAGGATCTTCAACCCGTGGACACAGTCGGAGAGGTTCGATGAGCAGGGCGAGTTTATCAAGCTGTGGCTACCGGAGCTGGCAGAGGTGGAGGGGGCGGCTATACATAATCCGTATGCGGCCGGTGGAAAGGCCGCGCAGATTGCGAAGGCGAAGGGCTATCCCGAGCCGGTTGTTGAGCATAAGTTCGCGAGGGAGAGGTGCTTGGCTAGGTATAAGGCTGGTATTGGGAGGAACACTGCGTGAAGAGTTGTTCATGAGATGTTGAGGCATGAATGGCTTTAATTCAGTTGTAGCGTTTGCTTGGGCACCGTTCATTCATCTCTATTCGACATAGTTGTATCTTCCGCAATCTATACGACTTATACGCAAGGAAAGTCGAGTCGGACATTCGGTCGTTGGATCTATTCGACCATGTGTTGAAGTGTGCGGGAACAGGTTGCTCTCAAATGAGGAGTTTCGCAGCACCAAAAACTTCAGAAGACATGTGCATTGCGATCCGTTACTGAGATCAGTCAAATCGCCCCTTTTTGTGGTAGGGATCTGCAGTGCGGGGCTAATGCGCGACAGTCGGCCCGAGCAATTCGACCAGATCGCTTTTCTCGCGTTCCCCATCTTCCTTCTCGCAATAACGCAGGAACAGTAAACACGGCTGTTGTCGATTGGAACTGGCGTCATTATTGAATCCCTACATGGTTACTTACGTTACCGCCGCATCAGCATTGATCAGCTTTTCTGCAGGATCTCACGTGAAAGCTTCCTCCGTCCCCCTCAGGAGTTGACCTCGAGGAACCGCGACCAGCTATGGAACAGCCAAAATGTACCAACTTCGTCAAGCCCAAACCAATAGAACCCGCAGAGAGACCCTGGCGGCTCCTTGACAGTGGTCAAACGGTGCCAATGCCCTATGGAGAATTTCACAAAGAGACATTTGGAAAAGTCAAGTCAATAATGGCCGACTATGGCATGCTGAACGCCATCTTGATAAGATCCGAGGGCGTTATACGGAAGAGATGGACAAAGAAGACGCGTACTCAACGTAAAGCTATTCTTGAACGATCATGGCACACGCAAATGCCACACCAGCATCGCCCAGACCTTCGCGACTACTACAGAGTCGAAAGACGAGAGTTCAGCGAGGCTTCCACTTCCACGATCAGAGAAGATGTATACAAATGGCCATATATCAATACAGAGGACCTCGTGACTCCAACACATGTCTTACAGCTTCTGAACTCTCGCGGACGGTATACACCCAACAATTTTGCCGAGATGGATTGGCAAAGCTCAGAGCTCGGTCGCAACATCAATGTTATCAAGGTGCGTCCGATATATTACGACCCAAACGACGAAGGCCAACACAAAGCTATATTGGAAGACGAATCCAACGGCAAGGAACCCGAAGATGGGGAAGTTTCACGTAGTTCGGAAAATGAGACAGTACGCGAATGGCAAGATAAATACAAACCCAGCGAATGGGGTTACTATCTGATGATGCATCCTACTGATCTACAAGAATACGGGCTTCCGGTCAAGCTTCCGGTCGCTCTGGAATCTCAAAAACACGTGAGGCGCGCGAGCGAGGCTCTTATCGTCCTACAGATACAGCAGCCTCTGATGGCCTTCCTCGTCAAGATCTGCCTTGAGCTACTTCCCGACGTAGAAGGTGGTCTGGACGGGTTCAAGGCCTTCTTCCAAGCCCCCGAACAACCCGAGCCCCCCGAAATAAGAACGACAAAAGAGGATGGATGGGACTCGGCTTTCGCACTAGCCCAAGACATTCCATATACCGCCCCACAATGGGAAGACTTTCTCAAAATCATGTCCTCTATAGCGGCTAGAATACACGAGTGGAAGGACCATGCCTGGGCTATGCGCGATGATCCATCCTATTTCACTAATGCTGTTAGCGAGTTCTGTAAGTGCGAGGCGCCGTGAGGAGCATCGATTGAAGCACGCTGACCCGATGCATGTAGATGAACACAGCCCTACACATGTATTGGACAGGAAGGGAAGGAAAAGCCCCCATCTTACTGATCCAGCCCTTCAAAAAGACTTTTGGCACATTACGATATACTCGATCATCATGGATTATTACGAGAATCTTGTCATGTGGCATGCTGCACAAGCTGCTCTACACAAGGTTGCTCGGCTGCTGTTGACACGGTTGGAGAAACAAGAAGGGCATGATGCATGGGTAGAGGCTGTCGCGGACTTGAAAGATTTACTTGATATGCGCCTTATCAAAAGCCTAGCTTCACGGTTGCCGAGTTGCTTCATTGGCTCACCACCGGTGCGCGGCATGTTCGTACGTGACCATGCAGTTCCAGAGGAATTACCCCTGCTCAGAGACCCGAGCTCTTTTGGGAAAGACTATTTGTTATGGCTGTGTTCCTTGCTTTGGTCTGAGGAAGGCCTTGGGGTTCCTCAAATTGTAGTCAGGGAAATGGCTCGAGTTATACAACAGGACAAGGACCAGAAGTACAGAATCACACCCTTGGTCGCACAGGTCAGTCATTACCCATGTAAGAAATGCGTATGAGATAGCCACTGACCTCGTACACGTTGATAGCTCGTGTCAGACCTAGCTATCTGTTTTGAACTACGAGCTCGCCTGCGCCTGGTGTGCCCACAAGCTTTCAAACCTGATGAGCAGTACTGTACCGTTGGAGCCGACCGCGACTATCACGAGATAGTCATGGAGGTTTCTGTGAAAGAACTAAACGTGATCTTAGACCCGGAATGCGGTCCAGAATACGATGCCAAACGCCGATATGATTTTCTCCTTCTTGGTGAGCTCGGGCATCCAAAGACAATGCCGTACCCTGTCGGCAAGCGAAGAACCAAAGAGAACGTAGAGATTATGCAGGCTACTGAACGACGGCTCGATGAGCTTTGGAGCAAGTTCGATGCTCACGTGCAGAAGTATTTGAAGAAAAAACACCTCGAGGCTCTTGAATCCCTAGCGCCGTCAAGAGGACAAATACAACGGACGCCAGACTGGATAGAACCGGCGAAACCTTCCAACAAAGCGAAGAAAGATGCTGCCCTGCAGGAATACATCACGCCTCTCATACCGGAGCAGCAGCCCGACCCTGTAGACCTTCCAATTCGGAGTGAGAAGCGCAAGACCAGGGGGATTGCGAATGATCCTTCCACTGAGCCTGTCGAAGTCGCAGCAGACTTGCAGCCAGTCGCTTCTGAGGAAACAAACACTCCGCCTACACCGCGCTTCACCGTTGGGAAAAAGACACAGCACACATTCTCGACTATATTCTTCCAGCCGTCTGCAAGCTCGCATCCCGGTGAAGTCCCATGGACTGAATTCCTCTCAGCTATGAACACGATTGGCTTCTCACCCGAGAAGGTATACGGCTCTGTATGGCGCTTCACACCGAGAGAGGGGGGTGTCATTACGGTAAAGCAGCCAATCAATTTCCACGAGCCGCATCCTGAGGGGAAATTACGGTTCGAGGTCGCAAGGAACTACGGCAGGAGGTTGACGAGGAACTATGGTATCGATGGTAGCAGCTTCATGGTCGCGTAACTGTGTGTGTGCGGACTGCTACAAGACAATGTGAGGAGGTGACAGCATGGGTTTAAGGTAGCCTAGTGTTTACCAGCGTGGCTTCAGTGCGCTTTCCTAGAGATAATAGACCCGTTTGGGGTACACAAGTAGTACAATAGGAGCTGTCTACTCGCGGTGAACGGGGATTTGCAGAATACAAGGTGACAGTGAGGGTGGACGGTGGTGGAGGGCTATCTCGTCCCGCCGCCAGACCGTCTCCAAAACGACAACACCCACACAAACCATACTACACAATCTACAAAGTCTACATAATGTCTTCCTCAATTCCGCACGTCGCTGCCGCCGCAATCCACTACGAGGGCGAAACAAGCCCAATCCGCGCGGCCAACGCGATCGAAGTTGACCTGGTGGAGAGGCGCCAACAAATACGTTCCCCAATCCCTCTTCTTTCTCAAATTTTCAGAAGCACAATAACTAATTCACATCCCAGCTCAAACGCGCCTGGAGGGTCGTCCTGGCTCCCCGCGCCGACGGCACCATCGGCGGGCGCCGCCGCGACAGCCGCCGCCTCGCACTGCACATGGTGCAGAAGTTCACCGAAGAGGTCGCCGAGCTCGAAGATGAGCTCTACAAGTCCTGTTGCTTCGAGTGGTGGGTGGAGGACGTGGCGGGGAGGGCGGGGAGCTGGTGTGGGGAGGGTGCGTGGGGGGATGAGGGCGGGGAGAGGGATCTGGTGTGGGAGGAGACCGGGGAGGCGGAGAGGAAGGAAGAGGAGACGGTGAAGTCAATTGGTCGTCGCTGCCGTTGGAATACTTGAGTGGGGTGGGGTGGTGAGGGTTTGAGGTATTGGGTGGTTTGGCCTCGGGCTTTTGTAGAATTCATGACATTTCACGACATCTATCTGTGCATGTTTGTTACAGAAGTGACCTTTGAAGCTGTATCACACAAGATTGTAATAAACTCTAGCTAAGTGTACTCTATATGCATCGACGGAAGTACAAGATAGGTTGCATTGAATGAGTCAAAACGTACAGATATATTCCCGACGACGAGCCCATAAGTCAGCGTGGAGTTCGTCAGTGCTTGAGCAGGCACTGATTCAATAACTATGAGAGGCTTGTCTACTCCTAACATGTTCAGTCTGCTGAGGAACTAGCGGCATGGCATTGATCTAGTCTTCCCGCCGTACTGTGGCTGTCTGTTGACGATACTCCTGGATCCTTGTCTCCATGTCACTGTCCCATGGTAGCCCAAGTCTCACAGCCAGCATCTCTTCGAAGATGTCGTTATCTTGCCAGTTTCGTGCCGATCTGCAGAACGATATCGTTTCGAGAAATACATTGAGCAATAGCTCATCGTAGTCCGGTTTTAGAACGCCACCCTGGCAATCAGAGCTGACTCCAAGCATACCATAGATGAGATCGCGCGGCTCAGAGGTTTGAAGATCGTCGTAGCACGCGATTCGCAGCCATGTTCCTAAGGGATTCAGTCGTGGATCTCGGCTTAGTCGTCTTCTCATCAGAAGTGTTTGGGCACCACTCTTCCCAATCTTGTTCTTTACGTCTTCGGTAACAGGGCTTTCTCCACTCAGCATCAGAGACACCAGGTAATCAAAAGTCTCGTAGGGGATAAGTTGATCCCGGCCGTACATGATACCCAGCTTTTGGGCTAGGAAGACCTCTTGTTGGATCCATACGCGCTTCCAGTATCCGTTCTGGCATAGCTCTACTATCTTGGCGATGACCGATATCGTCTCAGCAGTAGCCTTTGCACTATCTCCGTACTCATCGCTCTGACGGTTGAGAGCAGCCAGCGTGTTCGAGTCTAAGCCCTCAGTTCTTCCAGGCCATATCATCACCTGAGTGGCTCCGCGATAAATGGAACCCATGAGTTTGACTTGATGATTCCTTTCTAGTGTGTCGGATTGCTTGATACTCAACGCATCGATCCAAATGGGTTGACCACAGAGGGAAGTTCTCAAGTGAGACAAGGCGTGATGGAGGTTACGACGAACAGCGATAAGACTTCCATTGAGGGAAATGGTAGTGTCGTTCTCTGGTAAGGTATTGTTGTTGTCGTCAGCGTTAGGCGGGCCCCATTCGTAAGACAAAGCGGCATAGGAGGCCTGGCCTATCTGAACGTGTTCGATATCGCAATAGATGCTCTCGGTAACTTCGAGCCCCGCGGCGGGTCTGATACGAATCACGCGAATTGTGTCGAGTGTTTCCAGAGGCTGGTAATTGAATGGCTCCATAGCTCTTGCCATCGACGCGGCTATGGAAGACAACGCTCGAGTCTGTCCCCAAGTCAGCATAGTCAGCACCTTGTGTGATCAGGAGCCTGTGTTACATTTATTTCGCTCATCCGACTGTTCTTTCCTAATTGGCAGTGTCCTGAGTATAGTGTTGGTCCCGCGCATCCGAATGATGGATTCGTCTGGTTTATTTGAGTTTCGAGACGAATGCAGCGAAGTGCTGCCCTTTACGCCGATTCTTGTGACGAGGCTGAGGGCTGAGAGCTGAAAGCTGAAAACAAGAAGCTAAAAACTAGGAGCTGAAAAATAGAAGCTTAAAACTAGAAGCTGAGAGCTAGAAGCTGAGGACTAGAAGCTAAGAGCTGAGCGCACGTATACATTATCGACGTAGTGTAACGGTGGACAGAAGTCATGGGATACGAGATTGTCCCCTCACGAAGTCGGCACAGGAATATGCTTTCTGGAGCAGAGCCGTAGTAGAAATGGCCTCGAAAGAAGTATCCATGTCAGACAGGAGGGGATCTTCAGCTGCCCTTGTGGATGACGGGCCAAGAGCCTCAGCTAACCGCATTTGGCCGCGCTACTACGGCCTGGATCTTCCACCCGCAGCAACGGCGTTCTGTCTTCTCTCTGTCTTTCGCGGTCCCACATCGAGAACACTTTCGCTGATAACTTCCCGTCGTTTGCACGCATTGAAAGATGATTCCCGAGATGGGTTGAGTGTGGCCAATGCGGAAAGACTCTGCGTCGAGCTCAGCGTTAGGCAGCCGCGCCCTGTGATCAAGCCACCTCGCATCGCAGTTTTACCGCTATCCTCCAATGTATTCAGGCTCCTTTGAGGCTCCAAAACTGCGCCACGCATACGCGATTAGATTGTTGTCATGACGCAAACTGGAAAGTGCGACACGTGTCGGCAGCGCAAGGTCAAGGTAAGACGCCTTTAAACTTCCGCCATCAGTTCGTCGCAGCATTGCAAGTCGCTGCGAACGATGATATATTCTTACTAATGGCTACCTAGTGTGATGAAGTGCGACCCAAATGCAGCGCATGCAAGAAGAAAGACAGACCATGTACCTACTCCTACGGCAAAGCCTCAGCATTTGTTGTGCAGGACCCCAGACAGTTGACCAAGCATGGAAGATCCAGGACTAGCTCTGCCGTATACCCATTGGGGTCTTCTGACGAAGATTCAGGCTCGTCCTCAACAACCCCATATTCAGCAAACTCGTCCTCAACCGCTGCCTCGGACCTCTGCATTACTACCGAAAGACACACCGAAGATCGCCAAGGTTGCTTTCAAACCCTGGCACCGCGTTCAAGATCTAGAATGCAGCCGTCGAAGATGAGAGAATACCGGCAGAATCTCGCGCTTCAAGTACATCTCCAGAAGCTACGAGAAGAAAGCCCTCTCGTACCATATCAGCCAACCTCGCCCGAGACGACCCTGATCTCCCGATACGTTGGCGTGCTCGGACCAGAGCCCGCCGGTAGGCAGCCTTTTGAGGTCTTAGGGACCTGGATACAGTCTATTCCCTCGCGCATCGGGTCGAACAAGATGCTTGATTTGGCCGTTCAGTTCTTCGTCGATAGTCACGCTACGTATCGAGATGATATGCACTCGAAGCGCAAGGTCGCGAGAGCTTCAAAGGCTAAAGCGCTCAAGGAATTGCAGCTCGCCGTGATGAACACTGATAACAAGGTCACGTACGACATCCTGTTGGCTACGAAATTACACTACGCTGCTGAGGTTAGTCAGCCTGTCAGACGTCGGCGTGTTTTGCTGATCATATGCAGGCTCTTCTGGGGCTCGATAGTATGTATTACGCGATTCATGCGTTCGGAATCGCCGAGCTGCTGAGGTCAGGTGCGGTGGCGGAAGTTGATGACGACCATTTCTGGAATTTGATCGACAATACCTATGTCGACGATGTGAGTACTGGTCGGTCTTGGGAGTTCGCTGCTGATGTCGAAAGGTTCACGAGGCGATGATGACGGGTCGGAAGTCAGTATACCACAACGACTATTACCTGTCTGCTACAATTCCACCTCCGATCGATACAAGAGATGTCATGCTGTCGCCATCACAGAGAGCGTCGATGGCCGTCATGCACGTTTTCATTCAGTGCCCTTACGCGGTAGCATTGATCCGAGAAGCCATTTCGAACCCCGAGGACACGATCGCGCTTGCAATCGCCATGTCATATTTGGAGGGTCTGATGCAAATCAACGTGTCGCAGCACGTAGCTGAGCTCATTGAAACGACCGTGTCTGTGGTACCGATTCCACCGTCACCGGACGTCGCCGACCTAATGCCCGACACCCTCGAGTTCAATTCGGTACAAGACTTCATACTTTGCACCAGAAGCTGGATGTTACAGTCGCTCCTCTGCGGTCTTGCGGATACACTTTATCGATACTTCCCAGCTGAAGCGGCGTTATCGCTACTCCCGTCGCCTCAGCAATTACGAATTATTGATGTGGATAGCGCACTCTGTCTCCAGAAGTCGCACAGATGGGCAGATTCTGTTTCCAAACACATTCCGCTTTTGACGATGCGCTTACACACTCCACTCCAGATGGCCATTGCCCCATGGCACCGCATGACCCGAGATCTTACTACTCAACGCTCACCATCCGCCTCGCCAGGCACCCCCTCGGACGTGGCGACGGAGGTCACACGCGCCAAGCGCATGCAAGCCTGGATAGTCAACGAAACCAACAAGATACACAAGAACTGGAACGTCGCCACCGTCGATGAGGAAATTCTTATAGAAGCTCTAGAAGCCCTATCCGGAGAGAAGATGCCAGATTGGCTTCCAACACGCGTGCGCTTCGTCCCCGAAGAAGGCGAAATGGCTCTACACATGGAATTCGAGAACAGAACAGGGACCTACTCCACTGGGAGAATCGATGTGAGCAAGGAGCCTCCGCGCAAATTGGCGATGCCGCCGCATCCCGGGGAAAAGGGACAGGAATGGCAGAGAAAGAACGTACACGTAGTTGAGCTTCCGCTTAGAGGAGGGCTGAATGAACGACCTGTAGACTTCTTACATAGCACAGGAAGGAACCTGTGTACGACTTCAGGGTGGTGGCCGCAGTCACACGAAACATCACATAATAGCTAGGAGGTAGTCAAGTACAAAGCAATCTCCATTCTCATCACCACTGGGTATCGTGACAGCTACATCGCCCTCCCTCCTAACTCCCCACAAACCTCAACCCCCCATGTCTTCTGCAACCCCCTCCTCACCCCCTCGTCCCACCGTCCCCAAATCTGTCATATGCCCCAAACGGCATCTCAAAACCCCTTGTGTCCTTCACCAGTATCACCATGGTACTCCTGCCACATGCCCGTGAGTTGCTGGGCGCCGCACTTTGCGCACTTGAACTGGTGCTGGAACTGCGGGTACGGGCTCCGCGGGACGTTGTGCACGATGTTGGCGGCGCAGCAAGAGGGGTTGCAGCAGAAGTAGGTGTATGAGGAGGTTGGGGCTGGTGTGGTCATTGTTGTGGTTGTGGTGGAGGTGGTTGAAGGTGGTTTGTTGTGGTGGTGTGTTGTGGCTTTGGAAATTGGTAGTAGTAGTGAAATTGTGGTAGTGGGTTGTTGTTGGAAAGGGAATAGAGGATTGGGCTTGGAAAAGGTCGTTTATATAGAGGGAGGGTAGAAGGCACAGCGAGGGTGTGTGTTGGTGAATGGTGAATTGACTGAGACACGCTGGGAGTGCTGTTGAGGCTCTTGCGTCGAGGACGGCGTCACCGCTGATGGACGCGTATACTGGCATTGTTATCTATCATTCACCCCCTAATCCGTCTTCTTCAGTTTCTGCTTCACCTCCTTAAGCACCTCACACCCCTTCGTATCCTTGCTCCCACCGCGGCAAGCAGGACAGGTCCTACCATGCTGGATAAGGAAGAAGTGTAACTTAAACTTCAGCTCCGGCGGGATCACCGCATCCAAATGCAACTGCGTATTCTCCCGACTCGCCTCCTTCGGCCTCCATCCCCACAAGCCAGCAATGCGATACACATGCGTGTCAACCGTGAACCTGTTCCTCTTCAAGCACCAGCCCATTACTACGAACGCAGACTTTGGGCCCACGTACTTGTAGCTCATGAGCTCTTTCATGGCGTCTTCGTCACTTGCTTCAAGGAGATGGTCCAGGTTCCAGCGCCCGTAGCGACGCTTCACTTCCTCGAGGATGGACATGATGATCTTGGTCTTTCTGATGTGCAAGCCGCCGCAGCGGATCGTCTCTTGTAACTTTTCCGATCCCCCATTGTATATCTCTTCATAAGCGAACACCGAGCCGTAGATGTCTTTCATGCTGTCCATTGCGCGTTTCGCATTGTTCCAGCTCGTGGCTTGGCTGAGCACGGCGACGATGAGGGCGTCGAGGACGAATGGGATTGTCTCGGGTGTGTTGGTGTCTTCGAACTCGGCTTCTACGGCGGTGTTGTGCAGTTTGTGAAGGATGTCGTAGGCTAGTTGGCACTCGCGGTTTGTGGGGTGGCCGAAGTCAGGGTATGGCGTGGATGTCGCGTGGGCGGACCATGCTTTCCATTTCTTCTCTGCGCCGGCGTTGTCGGAGGTCGTGGGCTCCTCTGCTTTGACATTGCTGGCCTGGTCGTTTGGCTTCTTCTTGTCTCTATCACTGCTTTGCGCGATTCCGTCTCTTTTTACGGAACGATTTGCTGCTCGGTTGTCGACGCGCTTGCTGAGCGTCTCTTCACCAGTCGACGAACCAGAGTGTCTTCTCTTCATCGCACTACTTGCGGTCTGTTGCGCAGTGCGTGTCGCCGCTCTCGTCGATCTTCTTAAAGCCATGCTGTAAATTAACATGAAGAACAATGCAGGTAGCAGGTGTGTCAGTAAATGTTGTAGACGCGCTTCCTCTTGGAGCAAGTTCGGCGGACGCGTTTGAGGTATATACTAATCAGCACGCTGACGTCTTCATCAGTCGCGGCCCTGGGCCCTTGCATAAGGACGCGCTAATCATCCCCATGATCGCGTCGGATTCCGCGGGCACTGGGATCTAGATTCGCGAGATGCATTGCGGAGACGCGGTAGCGCATCGAAGGTTCGGCGATGAACCCATCTCGGCGATAGACCCAGCATCCGGAGATAGACCCACACGCTAGTCCTGTCTGGTCAAACATTACCGACTGAGGAGCGATTGCTTTGGCAGAAGGGCATAAGTTAAGTTTAATCCTGTGCTATCGTCTAAACAACACAGCATCTATGACACTACATCGAGTTTCCCACGTCTACACTACATAATCCTTGTACCTCCTCACGAAATCATGCAAGTCCTGTGTCGAGTCACAGGGTGCAGGTTGCATGTAACGACAGCTCCTACCTCCCGACTTCGAGACCCTCAGGATGGTCTTGGTAAGCCACCAGTACTCCGCGGCGTGCTTCTCGAACCCCAGATCAGGCAAGCAATGTCCTTCGCTATCTCGGCTTACTACATCCCAGAGCGCCTTCCATCGGTCGGTGGCGCGAAGCATCGGCTCTATGTTCATAGAAGAGAGGAAGTTCATTCTGGATGTCATGACGATGGATAGTAGTGCTATCAGAGTCAGCGTGGTCATAATAGGATGGGCGATGTGAGAACGGACCGCAGATGAGTATCAGCATATGTGGTGGTGAGACGGCTTCCCCGGGTTCATCGGCGCGTTTTGCAACAGGGGAAAAAAGCGCGCGTGACATGAGCTCAGGTAATGTCTCGACTGGTGGTCGCGGAAGCTGATGCGATAAGAGACGCGCGAAGTCGACGGCCGACTCAGCTCTGAACAAACTCTCCTCGCAGGGGAGATCACCTATCGCCTCACAGATGGCAACTTGTGGGGTGTTGTTGAAGAACACGGAGAGCGTGCTGTCGAAGAGGCAGGTCCACATGCCCAATCTGCGAGTGTTGTTAGTGGCTTCATGTACATAGTGTGGACGGGGTCGTGGTACCTCGATCGCATCTCATCGTTGATGAAGCCCTGCCAGTCATGTTCGGTTTGACTAGAGATAATGTGACGCTGTTTGTGCGCAAACAAGCCTGAAGCTCGCACAGCAGCGACAAGCGATGGAATGCGCTGGAGGCGGATTCGCCGTCTTGTGACCATGTCGTTACTGTTGTTTAGAAACACCAAGAACAATAGACCTGCTTGCAACAACTGGAGATGCTCATCTTCGACCCACGCCGAATGGCCGGCTTGCGATATCTGCCGTAATACCAGTTGATCGAAAACGTATGCCTCCGCAACGTGTGAGAATCGTCGTACGCCGATGGAGGTATCCGACTCCAGGGTAGGCAGGGACCCGAACAAAACGAGCGCGAGTAAGAGCGGGAAAGACACCGTCTGTATATCGAACGTCGGTTTATGCAAAATAGGAAACGAGTAATGAAAGTAGCGAAAGAAGGCCCAAATGAAATGCCGCACATTCCCGACTGTAAAGACGGTTTCCGCAAGTTGATAGTCGAATGTTGCATCAAGTGCATCACCACGTTCCAGCATCGCGGTATGCTTAGCAGACAGGTGGTCTAGCATCTCTCTCACACGTACTTCCAAGGCGTACGCATCTTCCAGCTCAGGTGTCAGACCATCGCTTATGATCGGAGATGCGTAGTCGACTTCTCTCCCGGACACCAGAAATGGGAAGCCGAAGAACACAGAAGGCAAGTCGGCAAATTCAAAAAACGACTGGTCATGCGTCATATCTTGATCTTGGGCGTGTGGTTGTACGTGCGCCTCACCATCTGCACCATCGAGGTCAGCCGCCTCAGCGGCGATGGCAGCGGACGGGCGGTAACCCGAGGGATTCGTAAAGTTGAGGAGGAAGTCGATGGAGATGCCCACGCGCTGTCGGTCGGTACTGGTATCAGTACCATCTTGGCTGCTTCCGACAGATGCAGTAGCACCTGAGGAAACGCAGTCTAGCCGCTTGTACGTACACACTGCGCCACCATCGCGACAACGCACACATGGCATTTTGGTATCGCACGACAGCTTGCGTTGCGAACATCTATCGCAGGAGTTTCGCTTTCTGCCGCGCCTCAACGTGGGTAGACTTACGTCATCGCCGTGGGCGGAAGAGCAGTTTGCCAGGTGGCGTCGAGCGAGGTCACTGTCTTTGTCAGCTCCATGCAACACGCACATCCATCTTGAGTTGAACCCACCGTCGCGTAAACTGCGCGTGACATGACGGACATGTCAAGTCTTGCCTGCCGAAATCTGTCTATTGTGAGCTGCGGGTAATTCACCGTGCAAGGTAAACTCACGTGACGCTTCATGGCGGCGAAGATGGCTATTGGTGGAGTAGACTTTGTCGCATACCGCGCATTGATGCTTTGTGCGGATTGCGGGAGGCATGTAGTGCGCGTATGCATCTCGTACATGAACCCACGGGAAGGAGTCGGGAAGGAGTGGGTTTTATCCCGTGTGGTGGTGGTAGTGGATCTAATCTGCTAGCGTCCGCCCGATCCCGCTCCGGTGGATCGACGTCATCTGTTTCGGGGCTTCGTGCTCGGAGTCTTCGCGCAAGGAACTTCGAGTGTGTACGTTGGTGGGTTGGTAAGTCGAAAATGGTGAGCTGACATGACAGTTCGCCCCTTCCGGCGTCTGACACCTCAACGAGCGAGAATAGACTTCAAACAACGTATCATTGGGATCTTACCGGTCCCCACGGTCTCCGAGAAAATTGTTAAAATTTGCATTATCACCCAAGGCTATCTGGCCAACATAGCTCAGTATCCAGGTATCTCACAGCATCAATAAAACCCCTTCCTAGCCGTCCCCTTCTTCGTCCTATTCTCTCCCCAAATGCAACAAACGCTCAGACTCTCACACCACCCCTGCACCATCGTGCTCTCCAGTTCCTTCTCCACAGCAAACACCTCCGATCCATCCCCGTCCCTGCTTGGGCCGACACCCAGATGTACCGCCTCCTTGTCCTGCTTCTTCAGATCCGCATTCCACGCTTTGACCTGCTTTTGCGTAGCTTTCTTGTACACGCGGATGGGTGTGTGGGTATTGAGGTAGGCGGTAAAGTCTTCGATGACGATGGGGTCGTACATGAGGATCTTTTCGTGCCAGGTAGGCTTGCTGGGGTCGGTGGTCGGAGGCAAAGACCGGATGTGACTTGTTATCTGAGCAAAGACCTGGGCTTTGATGTTCGGCCATTCGAGGAGCGGGGTAGGTATGCGGTGGATGGGTACTAGACTTGGATCGGCCGCTGAGGCTTTCGCTTTCGCCGTTTTGCTGGGTGAGGTGGTGGGGGATAGCGTGATTAGAGACAGGGGTTGCGAGTTGACGTGTTTAGTTGTTCGGGGCGGCGTGGGGGAGAGGAGCTGCAGGGCTTCGTCTTCGGAGTCGAGGATCTCGTCTATGTCGATGAAGCGACCTGAGCCCGTGGGAGGGGTTGATGACATCTTAGTTCTGGCCTTTGACTTTGCGCGAGGCTTCAGAATTGGCTTCGATGACGCGGAAACTGATGTAGGTAATGCAGATTGCGATTTCGTCGGCCTTCCGCGCTTCTTGGGAGACCCGTCCATGGGCGTTGGTGCTGAGGCGGGAGGTTTGAAGATCGAGACTGGCGATTTCCGCATCTGCGCAGAGGGCGGGAAGTCAAAGTCGTCAATGTCGACAAAGCTATCTGGTGAGACTGGTTTCTGACCAGAAGGTGGAGGCTCTTGCATGAAGTCGTCAATGTCCCTGAAGCCCGTATCTTTCATGTGGTCACTATCATTGCGAATCTTCGTCATTGGGGTGGCGCGTGAAGTGCTGGGAGGTGGCATTGGCGGATCAGAAGATATGGCAATTGGTGGCGGCGGATCTGGTGGTATATCGTCAATATCTATGAAGTCAGATTGATCGTCGTCTTGCTCGTCAGGCGCATCGGTAGTGCCATCCATGAGCAATGGGATGTCTTGCGTCCGGTCGGGCTCGGGGATGTAAACGTCCTTCAAGTGCTCCAGCATGCCGCCATCGTCATCGCGGGAACTCGCAGCCCAAAGTCCGCGCTTGCCTTCCACCCTGCCGAGCCGTGACCATCGCGGCGGCGCGCCATACGCAACATTGTCGGCGTCCTGCTCAGACTCCTTCAGCGCATACTGCAGTTGACGCACCATTGTCGGCGACTCTTCAAGCACAAGCTGACTTGATGTTCCAAACAAGACGTCCTGCTGCTGCAAACGCGACATTGCAGATGAAGGACTGAGCAACTTCTCTGCGATAGGCTTGGGCTTGGCGGCTGCTTTCGAAGATGCTCTCTTCGACCTCGGCTTGGGATCTGCTTTCTCTGTGCCTGACTTTGAGCTGTTACGCCTGCGTACTGGCTTCTTCGGTGCTGCATCGCCGTCCGCCGCCGATGCATCGTTCAGCGGCACCTTTGTTGTAGTCGTCGAAGCTCGGGACTCGAAGAAGTTGCTAGTGGCATCGTCTGGAACTGGTTGTGCATCCTTCAAGGCATACTGCTCTGTAACGAGGTCGGTGATGGTGCGCGGTTTCTTCTTCGGTGCTTTCCCTTTCTCGGGTGACGAATCTCTGGAGTTGGTGTTGTTGCTGGGTATCTCGACAAGCTCGATTCTCCGCCGCTTTGTCGCCGCCACGGCCCCTGCTGCATTGTTCGATTTCGCAGCGATCTGCGCAGATGGCGATTGTGCGTAGGCGAAGTTGGAGAGGAGGTTCGTGAAGGAGCCATCAGCGTTCTGCGATAAGGTTTTGTTCTCCTTTCCGGTTGAGTCGGTGAACGGCGATGCGATTGTGGTGTCG